AATAAACTCAGAGGAAGAAGTTCTAAACAGCTGGAAGCCACACACTAAAGTTTATACGGCACTCACTGTAAAACCTTTTCAACCCTGGAGTGTCATTAATGGATATAAGAGGATGATTTTTTCTTTATGTGACTTTTGTTTTTTCAGGTTTCAGATTTAGGCTGTAAATCAAAGCAGTTTCTCAAACACCGAGGGTACAATAAAAAATAAATAAAAAAATAAAAAATAAATATCACTCTGGCTCACTCCTGATTGGTCAGAGGCCATGGCGACTGTGTTGTGATGCAGCCTGACCTTTGTTGATTGGCTGGTTGAAGTCATGTGATTCATTTTTGAAGGAAGTTACCATATATGGCTCCTTGCCAGATAAAGGGTTAAGACTTTGTCAAAAATTGGATTATATTTATTATTCTGTGCAGTTTAACAACATTATAATGCAATAATTAAGAAAAAACTAAGATGAATTTCTCGATTTTAAAAAAAGATTTTAAAAAAATAAATAAATAAAACATCAATAAAACCTGGAAGGTACATTTTGTGAGTGTCCAAAGGTGTTACCAATACTTTAAACATTGCTGACACCATATAATATGAATATTTTCTATATGTATTTACTGCTGAAAGTGTTGAATAAACTCAGAGGAAATAGTTCTAAACAGCTGGAAGCGACAAACTAAAGTAACCATTTATACAGCACTCATTGAAATACTTGGAAATTTAAAAAACTGGAGTGTCATTGGTGGACATAAGAGGACATTTTTTCTTCATTTGACTTTTTTTGTTTTGTTTTTAAGTTTCAGATTTAGGCTGTAAATCAAAGTCAAAGCAGCTGCCTGGTATGATTCCTCGCCCACACCGCTGTAAAATAAATAAATAAAAATAATAATAAAAAAATTAAAAAATCCAACTAAGATGTGGATAAATTATTGTAAAGAAACACATTTACTTCCAAATCACCAGTCAGACTTATGACACTTGTGCCGGATGAAGCCAGGTGATTCTGCCATTTTTAAAGCCTGCAGAAAGTTACCACGTATGGTTCCTTACCTGATAAAGGGTTCATGTTTAGTCAAAACCTGGATTATATTTATTATTGTAATGCAATAATTTTTTGAAAAAAGGAAAAAAGAAAGATGAATTTCTTGATTTTTTATTTTTATTTTTTAAATTATTGAAAGCTGGAATCAACATGTAGAGTTTTTAAATGTCCAGAGGTGTTACCGACACTTGTGGAAAAACTGCTGCCACAAATGTTCTAGACGTTTTCTGTTTACATGTTTAATCTGAGGCCACATGTCTCATCTCTGCTGCGTGTAAACACAGCTGGCTCTGATACATGGTGTCGTTTTGGTGAATTATTAAAGATAGCATGACTTTTTAATTTTTCCCTTGATTGATTTATTACATCTGGGCTATTTCATAATGTATACAATGCATGTAACTGTGCATTTGTCTTCAACTACATGCACAGATAACACCTAGGATTAGTGTGGCTGCACACCTCATAAACAAGGAAAGTTTTTCTTCCACAGAATTCTTTGTTTCCTACAAAATCTGGTGCAGGTTTTGGTGATTTTTACAGTTTTACATGTAGAATAAAGTGATTTTGAAGAAATATCACAAACTTAACTTTAGATTTGGTTCATTTTCCTGACAAACCTGTGCATCACATGATTAGTTCAAGGACGGTCAGAAAGCTGCTCTTCTGTTTTTACAGTTTCTGGCTCTCATAATCGGTGGTGTTTTGGTGATTTTACTTAGAAATCTCTGAATATGTACCTTTGATGCACAAACATGAGCTTATAGGGGCCTAATTGACGACTGCCTTCATATTTTTTTAGCGAAAGAAGGATGATTTTTGGTTTCTTTCAGAAATATGGCGGAAAATGTGTCGAACGGTGCATTAGTAGAGCCTTTAAGCCCACATTAAACTGGTTTTGTTGTTTAAACAGGGAATAAATCAGCCAAATGAAGGCAACAGAATTACCAGATGCTTGAGTGGGTTGCTGTGATTTGGACCGAATGTGTGAAGCAACACAAGGATTTAAAACAAACAGGCCACAACTTTTGTTAATCTGACCTGTTAGAGCCTCTGTCTTTATTGCGGTAATATTTTCTTTTAATGGACAATTAAAATGTGGAATAAATGTGAAACTTTATGTTAGAGATGAAATGTTTCTATCCAGCTCGCTAACAGCAAACTAACAACAGGATATGATTTACTAAACTCCGGTTTAACAAAATAAATGCTCACTCAGCGCTCGCTCACTGGTTTATTTTGGACCTTTAAAGCACATTTATGGTGTTTCCCGCCTCCATCCCAATCAGTGAGCCTCAGTATCCTGCACAGAGTGAATCCTGGAACTCTAGACACTCTCATGCAGCCTGTAACTGCCTGTTAATCAGCCACATATGCCATTTACCCTCTTTAATTCTCAATTATATCACTTTTCTATAAGTACCGTGCACTCTTTTCGCCATCTGTGTCTATATCCGAGGCTTTCGTTTGATTTCGACTTCCATTCTGTTCCTGCGATGATACGTTCTCCCAGCGGGAAGCCGGTTCCTTTTCAACTCTTGTCACCTTTTTAGTTTTTTTTTTTCCCCCCCAAACGGTTCCTCAAGGGGAAGGCAGTACAGGAGCGGTTGAGCGGGTGATGCAGTCAACGCTGGAACGTCAACAATTGCCCCATCTGTAGCCGGGTATCTGGCAGCGCTAATCCACAACATAATCAAGCTGTGACAGATGGCGTCGGCGCCGCGGGGATTGGCTCGGCATTGTGTGCATATGAATGGGACATAAATAGAAATGTGGAAACTAATCTGAGTAACAGTTGCCGTGTGGCGGTGTACACAGGTGCACAGGTAGCAGCGTGTCTTCAGTTCGCTATTTAGCCGTAATGTGAAGCAAATGCTGGACAGAATCAACAATGTTGGAACTCCATATCTCACCTCTCTTGGTGTTTTCCAGGAAGCCGTATTTCGGAGGACTGACGAGCCAAACCAGCAGGTCCTTCCTGGGTGTGTCAACGTCCGACACGATGATGTGGTTGGTGGAGAGCTGCACGCGACCACCTTCCTGGACCTAGGCGTGGATTTAAAACAAAAGAAAAAAGAATCATTTCATGGAGCATAGACAAATGAACACGGTCCCGTTAAATCCAAGCTCATTTTACCTCATAAGCTCTGGTTGGAGGTCGTTAAGCGTCGCAAAAGTCTTTGTCATAGTGCCCAGTTGCTAGCTAAAGAGTGCTGCCTCATTGGGTTGTTAAACATGTAAAGACTCCACCTGGTGTCACAACCAGGTATTACAGCTCATCTACAATACCTTAAATACGATAATCCAGTAAAATAGTATCGGATCAGTATTGGTAGATGCTAAATATTAAATGAATGGGATGAGGCTGGAGGAAAGTTACTATACGTCTAACGGAGAAAATAAGATTAATGTTACAAATGTACCTGAACAATTCAAATGTGCTACAGCCCGACTCATGCTTCCTTGTCTTTAGGGTCCATGCAATGCAAATTTTGCTATTTGCCAAAGTCTGTGAAGGTCTACATGTACACCTTTGCAGAAATGTGGCACGAAATTGGTGACCACTTAGACAGTATGTACTGCAAGCATACCAACAGCACGTTTGTTCTCAAAACAAATGCTTGTTCTAGAAAGAGGCTGTGCAGGAAGATTCATCCACACTTTTATAATTCACCATTAAAAGAGTTGTAAGTGCAGTAGTTGCTACAGGACTTTTAGATTTGTACACATATTCCATTTACGGTGACCAGCACAATGCAAAGTTCTTAATTCTCCAGAAGTCTTGTGCTGCATCCATCCACTGTGCTTGGAATTTACGGGAACAATCACGGACACGGTGCAAAAGCCTGATCTGTAACTTGCTGTTATAAAAGAGTAAAGTACCACCCCAAACACAGTGGGAAGTTCAAACTTCTCCAGAAATCCACCCACTGTGCTCGACAAAAAAGTTGTTATGAGCCGATATATCTTGTAAAAGGAGCAACGACAAAGCCAAAAAAGTTGTAATTGAAGTCGTTTGCCACAGGAGGCGTTTGATTTGTAGGAAGGAGGCCAAAAACAGCGAGAAGTTCTCCAGAAATCCTGCGCTTTGACCATCATCTATGCTCGACATTTCAGTTTGAAATCTGTAATGAGCTGCTGCATCCTATAATAAGTGTGTATACACACTAATGTCACTGAATGAGTAGATCTGGTTAATTTAAACCCAACTACAGAAAACATCCTGACTTGACACGTGCATCTGATTCTACTTTTCTCTGACTCTAAAACCTGGGAATCCAAATCCTGGAGAAGTTTGAATTTATATTCTTTCCGTCAGGTTTGTTGAGTTGCTTCTGTTGTCTTAATTTCCCAAAACAAATCAAAGTGTTATCCAGTGCAAATAGCGGAGAAGTCCCACTCTGTGCTGTGTTGTTTTTAGACACTTAGAAATTAAAAGTTTAATTCCACTTTTCTTTGTCTGCAACTGAGGAAGACACCTTGGAGATTTCCCTTCATATCTTTCAGGAGGGGCGGTTCTGCAGAACTAATACAGCGTCGGTTCCCTGAGGTGGCCTCTTCAGCGAACACCAGTCTAACCTTCATTAGTTCTGACGTTGGCACCCCTCCTCCACCAGGTGCTCTCCACAGCTAAGAGCTCCGAGTGTTTCGTTGCCCTCTTTATGACACGTTCCACATTGTCAACTGTCAGAGGAGAAGAATACAGCGGTGGAGAAAAGCTGACGTTTTACTGACCATCCGAGAAAGCGTCCGATTCATTTTTGATAAGCAAGTAAGAAACAGAAGCTCCAACGTTCATCGACGTCAGAGTTCGTCGTGTCTTTGCTGATGTCGTGTTCAAACTGAGGTAACGGTCCGATGTGGTACAAAGCTTTGCTGTCGGCAACAGAAAAGAAGCACTGAGATATTTACGAACCAGGTTGGTGCGGCGCCAACGGACGGGACAGCACATGACGGAGTGCCACGACGCCTTCTGCTTCATTTGTCTCGTTAATGACAGTTTCTGAGTACAGCAGCTGCTTTAAGGAACTCAAAAGAGTATTTTAGGATTTCGGTCTCTTATGAGCGAGCAGGGTAATGGATAGGAAACTGTGTGCAGTCTGTGTTTTGCTGTCTTTGTCGGAAACAATTTTGGCTCAGAGCCGTGGTGGTGAGGGGGATTTCATGGGTTGTGGGGAGCTTTAGGCCGCTTCTCACAACTTTAAATGGCATTTTCAAGGTAAAGGGTGAAGGTTAGAATCGGGTCAAGGACAAATCCTGACCTCTGCATACCTGTGTGCTGGCTGATGCAGACGTTGAAACCGTACAAGCAGATATACAAAAACAGGTATGCGTCGTCAAATTGCCCTTTATGTCTATAACAGAAAGACACACTGGGCTCCTGTGGATGTCTCTGAAAGGCTGTGACTTTGCACTTTTTGTGGTACTACAGCAGCAGCTTACAGATCTGACTGCAGCACCCCGTCGGTGTGATTATATCGGAGGTGTGTCGAGCACCGCTGGAGGTCGGAGCACGGGATTTCTGGAGAATTAGGACCCCCCTGCTGTGTCTGGGCTCCACTGATGGAAGGCAGCTACAAATCAAAGCACCTCCTGCAGCAATGACTTCAATTACAACTTTTTTGTAATGACAAACTATAAAGCTGTGGATGACAGTGAATCTTTTTACACAGTCTCTCCTCGTAACAAGTATTTGAGTACCAATGAGCGCGGGCCTGCTCTGCTCCCTAGTTGGAGCTTAAGTCCTGGCTTTTTGAAGCTCATAGCCTAAACTACAAAGACTCTTCATCATACTTTAATGTTCTGTTTGTAAGTAAAATCACCCTCAAACTCTTTGTCTGGTCTGTTTCTGTGACTCTGCACTTAGGTTGCGAGAATTTGTCTTATCTCAGTCGCTGAAGCTTTAGAGGAGTCATAAGTGTCTTTGTGGCCTCCCTCACGAGTCTCTTTCTTGCTTGGTCACTCATTGTTTTCAGCAGATTTACACGTGTCACATATTCCTTTCATTCCTTCATAATGGATGTAACTGGACTCCACAGGGATATTTAGTGATTTGGAAATTGTCCATCCACCCCCTGATGTATGCTTTTCATTAACCTTTTCTCAGAGCGTCCCTTTGTTCTCATGGTGTAGTTATATCCACAAGTACTGACTCGCCAGTGACCTTCCAGAAACAAGTGTCTTTATACTATATTTACTGAACTCACATGATCTCCTTCTTACTAATTTTGTGACTTTTAGCACCAACAAGCTGCACCTGTGTTTGATAAGGTTCAAAACGGTGTGATATGCAGTCACGTATTTCCTTTGCAGAAATTAGCTTCTACTTCAACACTGAAGAGTCTATTTTTCTAAATTCTTATAAAAAGCCTTTTACAAATTGGCCACAACTGAGTGTTGAAAAGCAAAAAGAGCAAAAAGGAAAAAAAACCCTTCCAACCACTGTTCAGACAACAGTATTTTTTTAGATGTTAGGATCATTTAAAAAACCAGTCCTTTGGTTTTTGTGCTTGTACGAGCCGGATCTCACAAGGTGAACTTACAATGTGACATATTTAAGTGCAGGATTACCTTGATGCCGCTGCGGACGGTAACCGCCGGCGGCTGTCTCGGCGTGGAGGTGATGGTGATGGTGCACATCTGGTTGTCGAGGCGATTGTTGTCTCCGTCGTGGACAACGAAATGGAAGATGTCAGTCACCGGCTGACTCCCCGTCTCCAGTGAAGTGATGTACCTGGAGGAAAAACAGCGGCGGTTGTGTTTATTCTGTGATTAAATCTTTCTGTTGAAAACTAATTCTCCTTTAATGGACACGTAATGATGTGTTTACACGTCGGATTGACGGAGGACTTAAGGAAGGCTTTTGCTTTAGCCCTCCCACCACGATACAGCTGCTAATCTCTAGCAAAGCACTAATAAAATTGAAACCCACACCAGCATAATCTTCTCTAATCCCATTCAATTCTCGTAAAAAAAATAAAAAAATAAAAAAACAATCCCCGGCTCATGCAAACAAGAGCCGGCGCCACGGAGACAAAACTAACACTAGACGATTTGAAGTTCGCCCCCCGGAGATTGCTAATCACGGCCCGCATTATGGAAATAAAGCAGTTAGCATGCGAATATTTATGTTTCATTCCGCTCGCGAGGGGCCTCGCCGCCACTCGCAGGTAATGTCGGAGTTATGCTAATTGGCATCGCTAACGCTGACAGGCTCAGTCATTCGATGTAATGGGGGAATGGAAAAAGGGCTACTGAATTATTTCCACTTAATTCATTTGTTTTCTTACAGGCTTTGTGTCTGCACAGCTCTCGTCTCGTGAAAAGAAACATCAGATTGAAGGAAAACAAAATGACTCGGCGAGCCATTAGCGTCCTCTTCTGCTCGACGCCAAAGGGGGTAAAACGATCTGGAGCCGCAATCAGAGAAATTGATCACGAACGCGACTGCACTGCAGCGCGAAGAAATCCTCGACGCCCTTTTATCTTTCACAAAGTGGAATCAACACCACTTTTTTTTACGTTATTAGAGGCTCTCAAGCACTTTGGCTAACCAAGAACACATAGCTCTTGTCATGCAAAACATCTCTTGACTTTAGCATAAGAGGTTTTTATATTTTAATGGTTCTACAGTCGTCTGCAGAGTCTTAATATTAGAACTTCTTTTAAAACACGCCTGCAGGTTGGGTTTTTTTTCTTCTTCTTTTTAACATCTTGCTTCCCGTATTCCTAAAAAAAAGCTGCCACCATGAGGGAGCCGTTACCAGAACTTTTATTTTTATTGCAGACTCCCGTAGACCCTCCTGAGCTTTATTGCCAACGTGGTGACGAGTTTTAAGGGTTTTTGAAAGTCGTTTTTTGGTTAATAGCTGCAGGTCTTGTGCCGATATTAGGTTTTTTATAGGCCTCCAAAGCAGCATTTAAACTGAAGTTCTGCAAGCAGGTATGTGATTTTGAGCAATTTTGTAATGTTTTTTTTATTTGAGAGACTCTTGCCTTTGAAGCTGAATAATGTAGTTCACAAATCACAGTAGGATTTTTTTTTTTTTTTAGGGGTTTGATATGCACAAAAGAAGAAGAAGAAAATGATGATAGTGACCACAGGTTTGAAGAGTTTTAACCCTCTAAGTTTGTTCAGATGTTGCTGCTCCTACCTGATCCGGCTCTTGCTGACGTCCTCCATGGTGAAGGACGAATATTCCCTCAGCTCCTGGTGCTCCTGCTGCGACTGGCTCCGGGTCAGGATGCCGTACATCGGCACCGACACCAGCTGGATCCGGATCTGGTCGTCTGGAGACGTGTCATCCTGATTTACGAGACAGATTTGTGCATAAATAAAAACCACAAGCCTAACCTAGAGTTTCCCTTTTAATGCAATGCCATAAAATGGTGAAAAATGTCATAAAAAATGATGAAAAATGTCGTGACAATGGTGAAAAA